ATGAAAAAAGTTAGAAACCTCAGTTTGATTTCATGCCAAGGGTTCACAGATAGCATCCATTCAATTATTTTAGAAAAAAAAGGTCTGTTTTAAATATTACGAAAAAAAATAATAAATTCACCATTAACGCGCATGCGTCTTCTTTGTATGTGATTCCTAGAGGTTGAATTCATATCAAAATCTTCCCATATACTACTTCTGAATAGGATTTCTACTTCATAAATTGTGTGAAATTTGTGAAAATAATGGTTCAGATCACTCAAAACACATATGGAAATGGATGCGCCCTTATATGGGCTGTAATGGAGTCTGGTTGTGCCCTAGTGGAAGCGTTCAGTACTGCGCCCAAACTAAATCTCACTGAAAGTTCATTTTTTGAGATATCAACCGAAAATTTGAAACACAACTTGTTCAGATTTTTGGCTTTGATTTTTCTGCAGTTTTAGAGTAGCCCAGGTTTTGAAAATATATATTTTATATAAAATGTGAATAATTAATTTTTTTTACATTGTACATTTCTATAAACTTTTTTTCTGTTTCACTTTCTTAATTTTTTTCACTTCGAGAAAAATCTGCCAAGTGTCTTCTTTAAAACGAGACCAATCTTTCGTCTATATTCCAAAGCATTCTTGAATTAAATGAGCATTTCCATGTCTATTCAAAAAAGGGAGCATGCACGAGCAGATCCATTTGCGCTCTGTTCAGTTTTTCCACTATCAAATGCCGTCATGTGAATAGCGAATCCGCCGTGGCGCGAGCGCAACGGGCTTTTAAAGGGAATGGGAGAAGAGACTCTGATTGGTTTATCGCACGTTACGCCCAAAACACACCCGTTACTCATTAAGAGAACAGAGACGACACTTTTAGACCGTGCACCGGGAGCGCCGACCATTTCTCCCGTCGTTAAACTAGCAAAAGTGGATTCGGACGCACAAAGTGCTCTAGTGCCGTGAGCTTTAGACCATGCGCTTAGATCGTTAAACACACAAGTGATTGTGGCAGCTGCCTGTGGTGAGTGTGTGTGTGTGCCCTTTACTCCGCCACTATAGCCAGGCCGTTCTGGACTGTGTGTGTGTGTGTGTGTGTGCCCTTTACTCCGCCAGCACAGCCAGGCCACTCTGGACTGTGTGTGTGTGTGTGTGTGTGTGTGTGGTCCAGCAGAGCCGCCGGCAGGGAGTGGATGTGACTTTGAGTCGCTGCCACTGTTTTGCCAGAGGATTATCGAACCGCTCTTTAACATTCACCAACTCTGTGTGACAGACTGTAAAGCGTGTGTGGTTTATACTGACCACTGTGTGAATGACATGCACAGAAACCAATCACAGGTTGTGTTTTAACATTGACATTGTGGTGGTGTGATCATTCACTGTAAAAGTCGTCGGTCTGTGATCATCTGTACTGAAATTGGCCGCAAGTGGATGGACTTTTTAGTCTGCCGGTTAGTATTAGGATTGTACGGAGGCGTATTGCATTCACTTGAAGAAAAAAAAAATCTACTCTTTTTTACTGAATTAATGAGTTATTTTTTCATGAGAAAAAACATTTTTTCTCTGTTTTTCTGAATTAATTAGTTAATTTTTCATGAGAAATTTTTTTTTGCTCTGTTTTTCTGAATTAACGAGTTAATTTTTCATGAGAAATTTTTTTTTGCTCTGTTTTTCTGAATTAATGAGTTAATTTTTCATGAGAAATTTTTTTTGCTCTGTTTTTCTGAATTAACGAGTTAATTTTTCATGAGAAATTTTTTTTTTGCTCTGTTTTTCTGAATTAACGAGTTAATTTTTCATGAGAAATTTTTTTTGCTCTGTTTTTCTGAATTAATGAGTTAATTTTTCATGAGAAAAAAAAATTTTTGCTCTGTTTTTCTGAATTAACGAGTTAATTTTTCATGAGAAAAAAAGTTTTTCTCTGTTTTTCTGCATTAATGAGTTAATTTTTCATGAGAAATTTTTTTTGCTCTGTTTTTCTGAATTAATGAGTTCATTTTTCATGAGAAATTTTTTTTGCTCTGTTTTTCTGAATTAACGAGTTAATTTTTCATGAGAAATTTTTTTTTTGCTCTGTTTTTCTGAATTAATTAGTTAATTTTTCATGAGAATTTTTTTTTGCTCTGTTTTTCTGAATTAATGAGTTAATTTTTCATGAGAAATTTTTTTTTGCTCTGTTTTTCTGAATTAATGAGTTAATTTTTCATGAGAAATTTTTTTTGCTCTGTTTTTCTGAATTAATGAGTTAATTTTTCATGAGAAAAAAATTTTTTCTCTGTTTTTCTGAATTAATGAGTTAATTTTTCATGAGAATTTTTTTGCTCTGTTTTTCTGAATTAATGAGTTAATTTTTCATGAGAAAAAAAAATTTCTCTGTTTTTCTGAATTAATGAGTTAAATTTTCATGAGAAAAAATTTTTTTTCTCTGTTTTTCTGAATTAATGAGTTAATTTTTCATGAGAAATTTTTTTTGCTCTGTTTTTCTGAATTAACGAGTTAATTTTTCATGAGAAAAAAAGTTTTTCTCTGTTTTTCTGCATTAATGAGTTAATTTTTCATGAGAATTTTTTTTTGCTCTGTTTTTCTGAATTAATGAGTTAATTTTTCATGAGAAAAAAAGTTTTTCTCTGTTTTTCTGAATTAATGAGTTAATTTTTCATGAGAAAATATTTTTTTCTCTGTTTTTCTGAATTAATGAGTTAATTTTTCGTGAGAAAAAAAGTTTTTGCTCTGTTTTTTCTGAATTAACTCGTTAATTCAGAAAAACAGAGCAAAAAAAAAATTCCATGAAAAATTAACTCATTAATTCAGAAAAACAGAGAAAAACTTTTTTTCTCATGAAAAATTATCTCATTAATTCAGAAAAACAGAGCAAAAAAAATTCTCATGAAAAATTAACTCGTTAATTCAGAAAAACAGAGCAAAAAACATTTTTCTCATGAAAAATTAACTCATTAATTCAGAAAAACAGAGAAAAAAAATTTCTCATGAAAAATTAACTCGTTAATTCAGAAAAACAGAGCAAAATTTTTTTTTCTCATGACAAATTAACTCATTAATTCAGAAAAACAGAGAAAAAAAAATTTTCTCTCATGAAAAATTAACTCATTAATTCAGAAAAACAGAGCAATTTTTTTTTTCTCATGAAAAATTAACTCGTTAATTCAGAAAAACAGAGTAGATTTTTTTTTTTCTTCAAGTGAATGCAATACGCCTCCGTAGGATTGTGACTTGCGAGTACACTAAAAAATACTGGGTTGTTTCAACCCTATTTTGGGTCAGATGTGGACAAACCCAAATGTTGGGTTAAAAATGTAATTTGAAAATTGAACCCAATGGCTGGGTTTGGCCATGTTTGACCCAAAGTTGGGTTGAAACAACCGCTGTGGGAAAGTCAAAATCAAAACTGAAAGCTTATTTGTTTTGAAATAGCTTTTAATCGATGATAGTGGCATGTCATCTGTTTATCGTCTGTTATTTGTTTTTATTTCTTTTATGTTTATACAATGTACAGCACATTGGTCAAGGGGGTAATCCATCGACCGGAAGTTGAAGCCTCGCGGGAGCTGCCATCTTGTAGCAGAACTTCACTTGCGTTAGCATTCCCATTGACTCCCATTCATTTTGGGGTCACTTTGACAGCGAATAACTTTACATCTGAGGCGTTTGAAGACCCCATTTGTCCTTTATTTATTTCTAAAGAAAAACGACAATTTATAAAATGCTCCATTACCTTGTAGCTTATGTTATGGGCCCGTAGAAGCAGTTTTAGTGAAAGTAGGCTAACGATTGCGTCATACCCACGCGACTCTCTGTCGCACAGTAGAGAGATTACCGTATGGACATGAGAAGAAGCTCAGCGCAATCGGGGAAACGTGGAGGCAAAATGACAAAATAATGAATCAGAATACCTAGCAAAAGTGTCTCCTTCTCCTCGCTCATGGACAGCTCGTACTCACACTCTCCGCCTCTGTGAGTTTCGGAAGGGAATGATTCAAATTTGTCATGCCACAGCACTAGAAGACAGACGGGTCACTCACGTCACGTCTACGTCGTCAAGCTCTGTTTGAGTCTGCGCGTCAGGGACGGAAGTGCTAAAAAATCGCCAAAAACGGGCTTCAATCGTCAATGGAGTTCCAATGAGATCGCTCTGTCCATTTCTTTTACTATCTATGACATTGGTCAACAGTTGTTGATTTAAATGGAGACATAAAGTGACACTGATATTGACTTTCTCAAAATGTAGTGTTTAAAAGTTTAGGGTCTGTAAGAATCCGGTTGAGGATTGGCAACACCAAATCTACTGGTGAAAATCCAGCTTTTAAAGGGGTGATGAACTGAGAAATCAAATTTTCCTTGAGCGTTTCATCATATTATAAGAATATCCTGTAAGTTTCAGAACTGAAAACGTCCTTGTTAGTCCAATAAAAGCTTTTATTGACACAGCCTCAGCAAACGACTCGTTTTTCAAAGTGGGGAACTATGACGACAAAGAGGATAAAACCCCACCCCCGCAGAAGAAGATCGACGCCTACTTCAACACGGCCGGTTTAGCCCCGCCCACCGATTCGCGCATTACATGCATAGCTAAATAACATAGATTCATACTTCTGATGACAAACCGGATCGAGAGTGAAACTCATTATAATGCAAAACTGTGGTAGCAGTGGGCGTTTACTCCCAAGTCTTCAATGCGAGACGCCCATAAAAACCCAGCGTTTTTCCGCTAGGCTCAAAACTTGGCTACAAAATAGCCTATTACTTATTCATTTTGATGTTTTTGAATGTAAAAACCAAGCGAACGTCATAAGTTGACCTCAGACAACAATGTAAAGCCAGTTCATGACCCCTTTAATGTCTGATGAGCCATGAACCACACCGCCAATCCAAACTGTATGCTAATTGTCAATGGTATTTGTCGATAGTGGTCCTGACAGAAATGACCCCTGTAGTAAATGTCAGCAGCACCTGCGGAGTTCATGTTCCCGTCGTGTGTGTGTGTCGTGACCCCACCTGTCGGAGACTCTGATGAGCACGGCCCGGTAGAGCTGGCGCTGGACGCTGGCGGGCTCGGGTCCACACGGGTGAACGAACGGGTGCACAGCGCTCAGAACGAAGCCCTGCTGGTAGAGATCCTGAAGCTGAGACGGCAGCTCTCTCACCGAGGACACACACAGCGTCGACGTCCCATCTGCTGGAGGACACACACACGTGAGAACAGCGCATCACACACGAGAAATGCTTCTTTTTTAAGGGGTGGCATAATGCCCTTTTCACAAGATGTAAAATAAGTCTCTGATGTCACCAGAGTGTGTGTGTGTGAAGTTTTAGCTCAAAATACCCCACAGATATTTTTATGTTAAATAAATGTCATTTTTTGCATGTTAAAATTGTCATTACCAGACTTTAATTACTTTAACTTTAATTGTCATTACCAGATTTTAAGCATGTTAAAATTGTCATTTTTGTGTGTGTGTCCCTTTAAATGCAAATGAGCTGCTGCTCCCGGCACAGGGGTTGGAGCTTCAAGAGTGCCTGTCGTTTGACCTCACACACACACACACACACATGCACTGAAAATTTATGTTCAAACAAAGATGGAGAGACTCAAGAAGAAGTGACATGTCACAATTCTGAATGATTAGTTGATGAATTGATGAAGCTTATGCGTCGTTATCTTCTAGTCATTGATTAGCATATTCTGTCATGATCATCTATAAATTGCGTTCCTGGGGGCGGGGTTTATGCAAATTTTAGGGTTAGTGATGTCAAGTACAAGAAGGAATATTTAAAGTCACCACAAAATCAAATTTGACAATTCTCTCTCTCTCTCTCTCTCTCTCTCTCTTTCTCTCTCTCTCTCTCTCTTTTTTTCTACAGATTATTACAGATTTTATTATAAATCATTTATCCGTGCACACAACTGTCTGCAAACTGGCGTTTAGATCCCAACTGCCGGAGGACACACACGGGTGAGAACAGCACATCACACACACACACACACAGCATTCTGATGAGAAATCCTTCTTTTTATGTAACGTAGTTTTAGCTAAACAGACGTTGCGATGCATAGGAAGGAATATTTTAAATCAAAATTTACTATTTTTTTTTTCAGATTATTACCGTGTTTATAAGTGATTTATCCGTGCACACAACTGTCTGCAAACTGGCATTCAGAACCCAACTTCTTACGATCCAATTCATTCGCTAAAGGCAAAATACATTGTTGGTTTCATGACACAAACCGTTTCACTCAGATATACGTCGCAATTCGAAAAGGGACGAATATGTCATTTTCAGTATGCATGAGTATAAATTATTTTATAATTTTTTCAAAACATTTAACTATAAGAAAAATGACAAGCAGAGGCTTCTATAAGTATTTTGTTTTTTTTAATTATATATGTGTATATTTTCGAAAAACATTTAAACATGAAAAATGCCAGAGGCTTCTAGGATTTTTAAAACAAAACATTTTACTATTATTATTATTTTTTTTATTATTAAAAAACATTTTTAAAATTAGTATTTTATTTTTTATTTTATTATTTTAAAAGATAAATAAAACAATTTTAAAAAAATATTTCTTTTATTTTTTTGTTTATTTTTTATTTTATTAATATTATTTTATATATATATTTTAATAAAATTTAAAGAAAAAATGTATATATATATATATATATATATATATAAAACATTAATGATAATATTTTTATTTCAATCATATATTTATATTATGTTCTTGTTTATTTTATTTTATTTTTATTTTATTTATTTATGTTTATTTATTTTTTAAATTATTTTATATTGGGTTTTTTTAAAAGAAAATTAAAAAGTAAAATAAAAAATGTGATATATAAAAATGGCAAGCAAAGGCTTCTGTGATTTTAAAAAAAAGTATTTATTTATTATATTTTTATTGTACAATAGACATGAAAGTATAGACCATGTTTTAAAGATGTGAATCACTTTATAAATCAACATTAAAATCATTGCCACTAATTCATGAATATTTAATATAACCCCTATATGTATTTTTAGGCACTGGACAGTCAAACAGTTTGTTGTTTCCCAATGCACTTTTCTCCGGGAGGATTAGCTAGTTTGTTTGCGATGTACTGAAGCACGGCTCGCGTTAGCAACTGTGCCTGACTGACCTTGTCTATGATTTAATGGGCCTGGTGAAATATCCAATTAAATGTGATTGTTTATCTGGACGTGCGATGAGAGTCTTTTACACAAGAGCTTTTCTGACAGCCCATTCACGCCCCGCTCTGGCTGTAATGAGATAGGCTACACTCCGTGTGACTGAATGACCACACATTTGGAAGTGGGAGGAACATTTTCCCCCATTTTAATCTAAAGTCTTGTCTGGGCATAATGGGAAAAGAGAGAGGAGACATGCAACATAACAGACAGAAAGTGTCAGAATCGCCCAGCTGTGCAACAACACATCAGATCAGTCTCTCAACGCAATCCAGACGGTCATATGCTAATGAGAGCGCAAGACTGGGGGAAAACACACACACACACACACACACACAGGTCTCAATGAGAGGACAAGAGGTACATATGGTTTAATAGCACACATTTTGAAGATAACATTTGTGAATTGATTCTATTATGAGCGTTGTTTACATGTTTGAATGACTTGAATAGCATGCTGACTACACAAACGCTTTGTGCATTTTTATAAGCATGCATGAAATACCCAGATTATCTAAATAGAAAAACAATGCAATGCAGTTTCCGCTAAAACCTCTATTTCTGTCAAAAGGACTTTCGTATTCAGTATTTTTAGTTTTCTAGTACAAATATCTAAACAATCTTAAATCAAGATACACTTCCCTTAGAAGCAAAACAATGTCAAATACTAAAGTCTTGTTTTCTAAAAAAAAAAATTTAAGTTAGATTGTACTATACCAATGGAATAAGAAAACAAATTTATTGTTGTTTTAAGTCACTTAAACACAGAAAACTTTATATATGTCATAATCATGTACATGAATGTTCCAGTATTTTGGAAAACACTATATTTGAAGCCTTTACATACAGTATAAAGTATTTGAATGCATGAAATAGAAAAACAATGCAATGCAGTTTCCGCTAAAACCTCTATTTCTGTCAAAAGGACTTTTGTAGGACCAGTACAAATATCTAAACAATCTCAAATCAAGATACACTTCCCTTAAAAGCAAAATAATGTCAAATATTAAAGTCTTGTTTTCTAAAAAAAAAAATTAAGTTAGATTGTACTATGCCAATGCGATAAGAAAACAAATGTATTGTTATTTTAAGTCACTTAAACACAGAAAACTTTATATATGTCATAATTATGTACACGAATGTGGAAAACACTATATTTGAAGCCTTTATATAGAGTATAAAGTATTTGAATGCATTAATTATGCCTTGTTCTCATGAATAATTGTAATCACATTTATATGATAATATTATCTATTCATTGAACACCTTTAGAAAGTGTAATGCATTAAAACATTATTTTTTGTCAGGAATAGATACAATGTACATTACGAATACCTTTATAATGCATTATACATGAAAGTAAAGTGTTAATTTTATTTGTCCTGGAAAACAATTTAGAATATTGTTATCGTCACAATATATCGTCATGTATTGTGATGATGCCTGCTAAAGGCATTCTGTATAAAGTTAGTAAGTTGTTATCCGAACACAGTCAGGGACTTGGACCTGGTTAAACTGGTTTGATGAATGAGACGCAACTGTCCCAGAGAGACAGACACTCTCGCAGTCATATAAACCAACACAAACTGTTGCCCGGAGTGAGTTTGGTCCAAAATAAACCCGGTCGAACGGTCAATGATGCTTCCCATACTGTGTACGTCACGTGTGTGTGCAGTTAACTGGAAGAATCTGACACTGAACTCAACTTAAAGATGAACAGGAAGTCATTTAAAGTCATGCCGTCAAGCTCTAGACACTCGTTCTGCTTTTTAAAAATGTTAAATCTATTTATAGCGAGATATGTGTGACTCGACAGCAGTTTTGAGAAGCGGTTTCTCAGCTAAAAATGCCTCGCTACCAAACAAACAATATATTCCCAGAGAATGATCTCAGATCCAGTCATGCTTGCAGATTTATCAGGGTCCCTTGCAAATTGAGCAATATTTATCTGTTGTTTTTGCTGTAGATACACACTAAAAGTAGCTTTTTGCACCATCTGCTGATGCCAGGAGAATTAGTAAAATTTACCAGCCATGGATTTTTTTTGTATTTTATATTTTAAAGTGCCCCTGTGGTGAAACAATCCAGCTTTATGTGTCTTTTTAATATGCTTTGAAGGAGTAGTTCACTTTTAAAAAACTTTTGCTGATGATTTACTCACCCCCATGTCATCCAAGATGTCCGTGTCTTTCTTTCTTCAGTCGAAAAGAAATTAAGGTTTTTGATGAAAACATTCATATAATGGACTTCAATGGGGTCCAAACGGTTCAAGGTCCAAATGAGAGTTTCAGTGCAGCGTCAAAGGGCTTTAAACGATTCCAGACGATGAATAAGGGTCTTATCAAGCGAAACGAGCGCTCATTTAATAAATAAATAACAAAGTTTTATAAGCTCAAATGCTGGCCTTGCTCTGTTCTGTGATGCGCGTTCGTGACTCTCCTGTTTGAACTCGTTCATCAAAATGAACAAATCTTTTTTCGTATCATTTGGTTCATTCAACGGACCAAATGAACGAGTTGACTTGGGAAAAGATTCGTTCATTTTGATTAAAGAGTTCGAACAGGAGAGTCACGAACGCGCATCACAGAACAGAGCAAGGCCAGCATTTGAGCTTATAAAACTTAAACTTTGTTATATTTTTTTATTAAATGAGCGATCGTTTCGCTTGAGACCCTTATTCATCGTCTGGTGTCGTTTAAAGCCCTTTGAACAGTTTGCAGTTTGCACTGAAAACAAGGTCCAAAGTTTTTGGACCTTGAACCGTTTGGACCCCATTGAAGTCCATTATATGGAGAAAATCCTGGAATGTTTTCATCAAAAAACTTAATTTCTTTTCGACTGAAGAAAGAAAGACGTGGACATCTTGGATGACATGGAGGCGAGTAAATTATCAGCAGAAGTTTTTTAAAAGTGGACTAGGCTACTCCTTTAAGACACATGTGTGCGTTGATAAGTGGACAGCATTGCTGAGTATTTCCTCCTTCA